TCGCTTCGCTTGATGTTGTTACCTCAACATAAGAAGGAAGTAACCTCGATGGCGAACTTTTCCTGTGATACTGAAGTTTGGCCTCCGCGCCCCCGCGCCCCCGACCAAACTCTTATTGGTCGACGATAAAAAACTCTAACGACTTAAGGGGGGGGTACATTATTATCGTGGGTTCGGGGTTAGTGACCCCCCTCTGGTTTTCTGGAGGGGGAGGGGGGGGTTCGAACCGGTAGTGACCCCCCCGGTTTCCCGGAGGGGGGAGGGGGGGGTCTCGAACCGATAGTGAAACCCCCCCGTTTTCCAGAGGGAGGAGGGGGGTAGGGGAGGTGGGGGTTTCTGCTGGGGGGTATAGGGTGGGAGGGGGGGAGGGTTCCAGCAGGGGGGAGGGGTTTTCGGAGGGGGTGGGGGACCCCCCGGGTTCCGGGTTCCGGAGGAAGGGTGGGGGGGAATTTTCCACAGTAGAGCGGCGGTGGATCACGCTCTCTCTGAGATCGGAAGAGGAAGAGGAGGTGAGGAGGACACAATCAGGGGGCTGCAGAAGGGAGGGAGGAGGAGGATTGAGGGCGAAACAAATTTTGTAGCAGCAGCGGGGAGAGGGAACGAGGCCGATTGGCAGGCGGACCACAGCGGGGGGGTCGGGCGGGCGGACCCTTTCGGGCAAGTCGGGCCGGCAGGGGCCTGCAAGCAGGCGGGTTACAGCGGGCTGGCGGGCTCCCAAGCAAGCGAACGGGCGGACCTTGAGGGGCTCGTCGGGCGGGCGAACCCAAACGGGCGGGTCGGGCTGGCGGGCCCGAGCGGGCGAGTCGGGCGGGTGGATCCAAACGCGCAGCTCGGGCGGGACATGAAAGCGCGCGGACAGGCCCCGAAGCAAGTGAGCGGGCGGACTGAGCCGTGCGGGTCGGGCGGGCGGACCCTCACGGGCGGGTCGGGCGGGCGGGCCCTCACGGGCGGGTCGGGCGGGCGGGGCATCGCAACGACTTGCGAAAATTGTGGCTCGGTCTCCGGCGAGAGCGCGATTTTCTGGAGCAAGCTGCGAAAAAAGGCTGCTGAGAGAGCACGGTGCTTGAGCGTCGAGGACGTCACGCCCGACCACATATGATGGGGCAGGCCCGTGCGAGGGCGAGAATACCGGGAGCAAGCTGTGCGGGTCTCGGGCGGGAGCGCCGTCCCGGAACAACTCGTCAGGAAGCACAGTGCCGTTTTCAATACATGCTCTGCGTGCGGATCATGGATTGAAAATACAGGGAGTTGATATTAAAAACAAAGATGAGTTCATGCATACATCTATTCATGAATTGAGCATGTATTAAAATCATCGATATTCAAAACATCCCATGTATTAAACATTGCCCTGTATAGGGCGGAAGCCGTTACTATTGAGTCGGGCCTGTCCTTCTACAGGCGGGAAATTCAAAAATAGTCAAAACAAGAATATGAGGACTATGTTTTGACTATGTTTGGGCCTCTTTTGGGTATGTTTGGGGTATGCTTTATTTTTCCTCCAAAATCCCCCTGTAGGGGGACAGGCCCGAGCTAATACTATGTGTCTTGGTGTCATAGTTCGGTGGCCCAACAGCACAGTTTGATTCCCAAGCCCTTCCCTATCAAAAAACCTGGTGCGAGCCCCTTTGGGGGCACTTCGATCGAAAAAGCACAACGCCGGCTGGTGAGCGGGATCAGCCATGGTAGTAATATTCTTCAGAGGTGGGGGCTCAACAATGAGAATCCGCACCGAGGAGCCCCACTTCAGCCCCACACCCAGGGACGGTGTAGGACCTCTCGGTCCCCTCACTCTGACGGGTGATAATGGTACGTACACGCTTAATTCGAACACGTACGACTTGAGCGAGCACCGAATTTTGAGTCCATGCATCAATCTGTGCAAGCACGTTTGCCAGCGTTCGCACGCGTGTCCTTCGACACGCGTGCCCCAGACCTTCGTGTCACGCCGTCCTCGTCTCCGATCGCGCCCCTCTTGGGGGTCCTTGTCCCTGCGGGGGCGTGCACCAGCAAACAGGCCAGCACGCGTGCTCGGCAGCAAATCATGGGAGCCAGGTGTGCCCTCACAGTTTTGTCTTTAGTGTCGATGAGGTAGCGCCAGTTTCGCATCGGATCGCGTCGATTCAGCGTCGATTCAGCGTCGATTAGCGTCGATCCAGCGTCGACTAGCGTCGATTCGCAAGAGCCGACAAGATGGTATGGGAGGACCCATGAGTTGATGCCGAAGCCAGCACGCGGGTGGGCCCTGGCGAGCAGTCGGGTCGGGTCAGGCGGGCCCCGGCTCCGGCGGGCCCTGGCGGGTCGGAAATGGGTGGGCCCGCGCCCGCGCGGTCGGGTCGGGTTCCGGACGGAGCCTACGTAGCTCCGGCGCCCAGGGCAGGAGGGAGGACGGAGAGGCAGAGCGAGAGAGATAGCAGGAGAGAGAGAGAGAGATGAGGAAATTCGCGCAATGGGACGAGCGAGTGTCGGCACGCACGCGCCGAGAGGAGGATCATGAGAAGGGGGTCGTGGGGGAGGTGAAGGAGGGGATGTGAAAGCAGGGCGGGAAGGAAACTGAGGGGAAGGAGGAGAGAGGAACGTGGGAGGGAAGAGGGTGGGGATTGGGGAGGGAGGAGGAAGGAGAGAGGAGGGATGGAATCAGGATGGAGTAGGGAGAGAGCGAGGAGGGAGGAGAGGATCGGAGGTGAGGGGGTGAGATCGAAGTGGAACGGAGAGCCCCCCTACCGGGAAATCGATTTCGGTTTCGTGTTCGTGCGTGCCGTGCGTGCGGGCGAGGCGAAGCTGCGTGGGCGGGCGAGAGAAAGTCTCCTGTGGCTGAGGCGCGGCCGGACCAAATGTCTCCCTTCCGGGCGGCCGGGGGCCCGCGGTGTCCCGCCGGTGTCCCGCTGGTGTCCCGTGTGGCTGAGGCGCGGCCGGACCAAATGTCTCCCTTCCGGGCGGCCGGGGCCCCGCGGTGTCCCGCCGGTGTCCCGCTGGACGATGTTGATGTTTTGTTTTGATGATCGATAGTGAGATCGGTAGTGATATCGATTGTGAGATCGAACGTGAGATCGAATGTCAGATCGCTTGTGAGATCGATTGCGAGATCGATTGTGATACCGAATGTGAGATCGATAATGAGATCGATAGTGAGATCGATTGTGAGACCGAATGGGATATCGATTGTGAGATCGATTGTGATATCGATAGTGAGATCGATAGTGAGACCGAATGTGAGATCGATTGTGGATTCTATTGTGAGATCGATAGTCAGATCGATTGTGAGATCGATCGATTGAGTTAGTAGTGAGATCACTATCGGTAATGAGATCGGTAGTGATTTCGATAGTGAGATCGATGATGAGACCGAATGTGAGATCGATTGTGAGTTCGGTTGTGATATCGATAGTGAGATCGATAGTGAGATCGATAATGAGATCGAAAGTGAGTTCGATAGAGAGATCGATAGTGAGGCCGAATGCGAGATCGATTGTGATATCGATTGTGATATCGATAGTGAGATCGATAGTGAGACCGAATGTGAGATCGATAATGAGATCGTTAGTGAGTTTGATAGTGAGATCGATAGTCAGATCGAATGCGAGATCGATTGTGATATCGATTGTGAGATCACTAGCGAGACCGAATGTGAGATCGATTGTGTGATCGATTGTGAGATTGATTGTGAGATCGATAGTCAGATCGATTGTGAGATCTATCGATTGAGATCGATTGTGAGATCGGTAGTGAGTTCGATAGTGAGATCAATCGAGTGCGACGTTGGTCCCTCCCCCCCCTCACCTCCTTCTCACCCGAAGGGTGGTCTTTGCGGTATGGAGGAGGACGAGAAAAGGGAGGAGGAGGAGGAGGAGGAGAAGGAGGAAGAGGGGGGGGTGGGGAGGGGGAGGCAGAATGCGTGAATCACATGGATTCCAGGTGCAGCAGCCTTGAATCTCGCATGCACTTCAGAGCTCGAGGCGGTGAATGCTTGCAGCACTCGGGCATGTGGATGTCAGAGGTGCCGGTGCCCTGAAGAGCCCCAGATCTGTGGGGGCCCGCGGTGGGTCGTAGGGGTCGGGCCTCTGAAGGCCTCCCACGCGGTTGCCCTCTCTGCTATCGTCCCTCTCCTCCACGGTTCCTCCTGCCCCTCCTCTTCCCGTGCGGTGGGGTCGCGCCGCGCCGCCGCGGCGGCGACCCCAGCGCGGACGTGCCGGTAGCGCCGCCGCGGGTGCGGAGCCAGCGCCCTCGGGAAGACGCGAGCGTTCGGGGTGGAGCTGCCCGCGCGGCGTCCGCAGCAGCGGGAAAGGCACAGGCCTCTCGGGCGAGGGAGGAGGGGGGGAGGAGGGGGAGGAGGAGGAGGAGGAGGAGGAGGAGGAGGAGGAGGAGGAGGAGGAGGAGGAGGAGGAGGAGGAGCCTGGGTCGCCTCGACACCGGACCTGCCGCACGCAGCCACTTTTGGCTCGCAGCCCTGCGCGGGGGGAGGTCCGCCACTGGGGGCCGCCCCGCTGCGGACCGCGGAGCGCCGCGGGGGTCGCGTCGCCCGTGAGGCACCTCGGGGGAGGGCTGCGCCGCGCCTCGGGCCGCTCGCTGCTCCGCCGGGGCGGCGAGCGAGGCCGCCTGCGTACTCGCTCGGAGGGCCCGTCGGCGCAACGGCCAGCCCTCCCTGGCGATGTTCGCCTTTCTGGGGGTGGGTGGGCCTCCTGGAGGCGTCTCGTCGCCACGGCCGGATGCGCCCCGAGGTGGTCCGGGAGTGGATGGGCCAGTTTGCCACCACAGACTAGCACGGGTAGGACGGGGAGAGGGGAGGATGAGGAGGTCCTCCTCCTCCTCCTCCTCCTCCTCCTCCTCCTCCTCCTCCTCCTCCTCCTCCTCCTCCCTCTCCTACCTGTGGTAGCGGTGGTGGAAAATGGGCCCATCAGGAGTGGTCCGGGAACCGACTGCGGGCGGGTTTTGGCCGAGCGGGAGAGCCACCGTTGCCTAAGCTGGCCCTCCTCCGGACAGTCGCCGCGCCCTGCCTGCGGATGCCGGTCAAGAGGCACATCAAGCCAGGCCGCGTCGAGCCGAGCAGCGACGGCAGAGCAATCGTCGTGCACTTCACCACTGTGACCACGCAGCTGGACGAAGACGGCTCTCCCGGGAGCGTCGAGAAGGCGCCTGGCAGCCTGGAGATCCCGGTGGCCGACTCCCTCGAGGGCATCGGCCCCGAGGGTGTCCCTGCCCTCGCGCGGGAGATCGTGGAGCGCTGCAAGTACATCCCCGCGACCAAGACGCAGCAGGTGGAGCAGCTGCTCGAGAAGCTGCGCGCCGCGGCGCCCGGAGGCTCGGTGCGGCACCACCATGTGCCTCCCCCGGACACGGAGGCCGCCTCCGACACCGGCTCGCGGCGGCCGCACCGGTCGGTGCCCTCGTCCCAGTGCTCGCCCACCACACCGCGGGTGCCGAAGGCGGACCGCCACGACACGCGGCCCGGGGACGCGGGCGAGCGCCCTCCTGGGCGCGGCGACGGCAACCGCACCGGCGCCCTCCTCGCCCCGCCCGGTGGGCCGTCGGAGCCCGCCGACGCGGCGGGCAAGAGCACCCAGAGCAGCAGGAGCAGCCAGCGCCCCAAGCCCGGGCGCGCGCGGGGCCGCCTCGTCGACATCCTGCCCCGCGCCAGCATCGGCGAGATGGACGAGTACGCGGAGGACCTGTACGAGGAGTCCACCGACCTCAAGGCCGCCGCCGCCCGGCGGCTGCTGCGGCTGTGCCTGGAGCCCTCCGAGCTGAGCGCCGTGGCGGAGAACAGCTCCGTGCTCGGGGCCCTGAGCCGCGAGCTGCGCGAGAACGCGAAGCGCAGCCACGAGCTCGCTGCCGCCATCACCGGCGTCTTCCTCTGCCTGGCGCACTTCACCCACTTCCACAGGAGCCTGGCGCACCACCAGGTGCCCGAGGCGTCGCTGCGGGTGCTCGAGTACGAGGCCAAGCGGCGGCTGGCGCTCCAGAAGGAGCACCGGCAGGCACAGAAGCAGGTCGCCGACCGGGGGGACGGCGCCGGGCCGGAGGCCTCGAAGGCCCTCCGGCGAGAGGAGAAGTGGCACCAGGACGTCATGGAGCGCCTGGACCGGGTCACGCTGCTGTGCTTGCTGCTGCTGCGCGACCTGTGCCAGGACTCGAGGGAGGGACAAAGACATGAACATCGACTTTTGGCGGTCCGCGCGGATTTTTTCGATCGGGGCTGGGAACCCCTGGCGGCGCCTCCGGCGCCGTCCCTGTCGCGCCAGGGAGGGGGGCCCAGCTCAGATCCAGGAAATCCGCGTGGAGCGCCAAAAGTTTATGTTCATGTCGTGCTTTCTCCCTCTAAAGGACACCCGTGTGGAGGCCAGCCTGGTCCGGCAGAACCTCTGCAGGCTCCTCCCGCCGCTGCTGGCGCGGCCCGGGGAGGAGCTGCTCCTTGCGACCCTGGGCTTCCTGCACAAGCTCTGCGTCTGCGAGCCGAACAAGGACACCCTGCTCCAGAGCTCCGACGCCCTGGCGCACCTCGCCGAGCTCACCGCCCACTCGAGCGCCACGGTCGCGTCCCTCGCGCTCCGCCTGTGCTACAACCTCGCCTTCGACCCGCTGGGGAGGGAGAAGCTCGCCGCGCAGACCGCGCTGCTGGGCAAGCTCCCCGCCGTGGCTCAGCAGCCGGCCACGAGGAAGGGCGCCGTGAGGCTGCTGTACAACCTCTCGGTGGACCGGCAGCTCCGGGGCCTCTTCGCGAGCAGGCACGAGGGCTGCATCGTCCTGGCCATGCAGATGCTGGACCAGCGGCAGCAGGAGACAGTTGCTTTGTTTCATAAGAAAACCCCTGGCGATCGCGAGCGTGGCGTGCGGGGAAGCGGGGGGACGGTGCCAGTCACGTCACGCTTCGCGCGGCGCCACCATGGCGCCGGCGCGAATCGTGACCTGACCAGGAGGGGTGGATGGGGGTGCGCGGTCATGGGCGGTATCGCGCATAGTATGAAACGGGCTCCAGGCGGCGCACGGCGCGCGTGCGGGAGCATCCCCGGAGCCTCGGGCATCTCCAGAGCGCTTGGGAGGACGGCCGTCCCGGTCGGCGCTCGAGGCGGTCGCATTGTGCGTGAACCTCGCAGCAGACCCGGCCTGCGCGGCCCGCATGCTCGAGGAGCGCGAGCTGTTCTCGAAGGTCGCCCACCGGGCCATCCGCGACGCGGACGCCGTCCAGCTCAAGGTCGTCCGCAACGCCGCCGCCCACGCGGCGAGCCGCCCCAAGTTCCTCGGAGTCATGTCCGAGGGCCCGCACGGGGACCCCGGCTGGCTCACCGGGCTGCTGCGCCTGGCGGAGAGCTGCAACGACAACCTGGACGTGCTCGTGGAGGTGCTGGGCATCTTCGCCGCCCTGGACTGCGCGAGCCCTGCCGTGCCCTGGCCCGAGCTGTGCGCCGCCGGGCTGCTGGACCTGCTGCACCGGCACCTCACGCTCGGCTTCACGGAGGGCGACGTGCTCCTGGAGGCCGGGTCCGCTGCGATCCCATCGATCCGGCACGTCGATGTCGCCCGCCCCGAGCCGAGTCTCGCTCTGAGGTTACAGCTCTCCGATGCGGCACGATGCTTGCTTGCAATAGCGCGGCTCTGCAGCCTGGCGCAGCCGATGCGATTCGATTCCGGCTCCGTGCTGATGCACCTGACGCACGTGTTCAAGCAGCGGCGAAGCGTCCTGGATCGCCGATAGGCCCACCAAAGAATGGTCTAAGAAACTTGTGGTTTCTACGACATGTTCTTAGAACATCTCTGGCTGAGACTGTTTCGTTTAAACACATGGAGGTTGTGTTCTCAGAGTATTGTTTTGTTGTTGGAGCATCCTGGGGTCCTATAGGAATATTTCCGAAGGTTTATGAGAATGCCGGGACGGTCGGTCCCTGCTCCACATTTCGATTCGACCCGATTTCACGCAGAATGACATAAGATCACAATTCGGAGCTCCTCCTCCTCCTCCTCCTCCCCCTCCTCCTCTCCTCCTCCTCCTCCTCCTCCTCCTCCTTCCTCCTTCCTTCCTCCTTCCTCCTTCCTCCTTCCTCCTTCCTCCTTCCTCCCTCCTCCCTCCTCCCTCCTCCCTCCTCCCTCCTCCCTCCTCCCCTTCGTCATCCTTCGTTCCCCTATCGATGCTGGCCGGTCCTGCCTGGCAGGTGGTGCAGATCGCGGGCGCCCTTGCCGCGGACCCGGCGTGCGCCGCGGCGCTCGCGGGCTCGCGGGTGCCGCAGGACGTGCCCGCCCTGCTGCTGGAGCAGGGCCGGGACGCGGACCTGATGGTGCAGCTGCTGTTCGCACTGAGGCCGGGGGACTTGGCATCGCTCGGACGTGTGCACCTGTCCTTCGGCGAGGACCATCGAGGAGCATCCTTGATCAGCTGGCGAAAAAACCACGCACGAAACCAAAAAAACACAGGGAATGGACGTCCGAGCGATGGCGAGGGGAGGCCGAACGTCGAAGAAGAAAAGTCGCCATAAATACGTAGCACCCCGCAATTGCGGGCCCTGGAAACGACAGGGCCGTTTTTTATTGGTTCCGTTTTGCCGTTTTTGTTGCCGGTTCCGACGCCGTTTTTTTACCGGTTCCGTCGCCGTTTTTTGACCGGTTCCGGCTCCAGTTCCGATCCTGGAGCCGTTATTTTGCCGTTTCCGGTCGCCGTTTTTTTTGCCGTTTCCATTTTCAATTGACATTTTCTTGGAAACGGTGAAAACACGGCCCTGCCGTTTCCGGGGCCCACAAAGGGCCAGGGGAGGCCGAATGTCGAAGAAGGAAATCGCCATAAACACGTAGCACCCCGCAATTGCGGATAAGAGTGAGGGGGCGGGCGCGGGCGGCGCGGGCGTCGAGCCGTTCAGTGAACGTTGTTTGGCTCGTTCAGTGAACGTTCAGTGAACCAGTTTGGGTTGCGCGTGGGTCGCGGGCTCTCCACCTCCACCTGGAAGTAATTCAAAAAACAGCCCGCCGCAGGCGCCGAGAATTTCGATTTGTACACTGAACGAGGTTTGAGTCGCAGGTTCTCCACCTGGACCGAATGCAAAAGAAACCCGCCGCAGGCGCCGAAGTTTTGGCTTGTTCAGTGAACGTAGTTTGGGTCGCGGGTGGGTCGCGGGCTCTCCACATCCACCTGGAAGGAATTCAAAAAAGAGCCGCCGCAGGCGCCGAACATTTCGATTTGTACACTGCACGCGGTTTGGGTCGCGGGTGGGTCGCAGGTTCTCCACCTGGAACGAATGCAAAAGAAACCCGCCGCAGGCGCTGAAAATTTTGGGTGGGTCGCGTCGCGGGTGGGTCTCGGTTTGGGTCGCGGAGGGTCGCGGGTGGGTCGCGGGTGGGTCTCGGGTGGGTCGCGGGGTGGGTCGCGGGTGTGTCGCGGGTGGGTCGCCAGTGGGTCGCGGGTGGGTCGCCAGGGGGGTCTCGGGGTGGGTCGCGGGCGGTTCGCGGGGTGGGTCGCGGGTGGGTCGCGGGTGGGTAGTGGGTGGGTCGCGGGGTGGGACGCGGGTGGGTCGCGGGGTGGGTCGCGGGTGGGTCGCGGGGCGGGTCGCGGCTGGGACGACGACAACAACAAACAACAAACAACAAACAACAAACAACAAACAACACACAACAACACCACCACCAACAACAACAACAACAACAAACAACGACAAGAACAACAACAACAAACAACAACAATAACAACAACAACAACAACAACAGCAACAACATCATCAACAACAACAACAACACAACAACAATCATTTAATATTGTTCGCCCTTATCTGCTCGAGTGTCCAATAACGCGTGTTTCCCAAACCCTCGATACCCGCCCTCTTCGTCTTCGATCGAACCCCTTTTGGGGGATATACCTTTCTTCCCTGCAGGCCGGGCCCCGGCAAGCGGCGGGGCGGCCGCGGGGCCAGCGTCAGCGCTGATCGGCGCGGCGGCCGGTGACCGTCGACCCGACCCCAAGAGGGACGAACAGGGGACCGACCACGACGACGACGACGACGACGACGACGACGACGACGACGACGATCACGACGACGACGACGACGACGAAGACGACGACGACGACGACGACGACGACGGCGACGACGCGAGAGCGAGAGAGAACGACAGTGGGGCCACGAAGGACACGAAGTAGGCCACGAAGGGCGACAGCGGGGACACGAAGGGAATGCGTACGGGGCCACGAAGAGGCGCGAACGAGCGGGGGCCACGAAGGGCAGATAATGCGGGGCCACAGAAGGCAACTGGGCCACGTAATCTGGACAGTGAAGGGGCCACAAACGGCGACAGCGGGGCCACGAAGGGCATGCACATGGGGCCACAACGGGCGGGACTCCTGGGCGCCTGGGTGTCGGGAGCGCGGCGCTTGAGCAATTTGCAAGAAATTCCAACGCAAGGGCGCTATTCTTCAGTAGATGTCATGCAAGTCTCCAGCGGGAGCGCGACTCCAGAGCGCCAGAAGAGCGATTCCTGCATAAACCGAAAGACGTCCCAAGCGAGAGGGCGATTCCTGAGTAAAATGCGAGGAAGTCTGGGGCGTGAGCGGGGGTCCTGGCTCTATGGTAAAGAAGTCTGAAGCGGGAGCCGTTGTTGTTGTATCCCGGGGGCCAGGGGCCCAGTTTGAGCATGAAGACTTTCCTTGTCAAAAAACCGGGTGCGAGCGTCGAGGGGCACACCTTGATTTAGAAAAAACAGTATGCACCGGTGGGGGGGATCAACAATAGTTATTCTTCAGAAGAGAATTCAACAACAACAACAACAACAACAACAACAACAACAACAACAACAACAACCGTCATAATTTTAAGATGGTTCGCCCTTATATGCTCGAGTGTCCAATAACGCGTGTTTCCCAAACCCTCGATACCCGCCCTCTTCGTCTTCGATCGAACCCCTTTTGGATGATATATTTTTTCCCTACAGGCCGGGCCCCGGCAAGCGGCGGGGCGGCCGCGGACCGTCGGCCTGGCCAGCGGCAGCGCTGATCGGCGGGGCGGCCACGGACCGTCGACCCGACCCCAAGAGGGACGGACAGGGGACCGACCACGACGACGACGACGACGACGACGACGACGACGACGTCGAAGACGAAGGCGACGACGACGACGGCGACGACGACGACGGCGACGACGAGCGAAAGCGAGAGCGAGAGAGAACGACAGCAGGGCCACGAAGGGCACGAAGTAGGCCACGAAGGGCGACAACGGGGACACGAAGGGAATGCGTACGGGGCCACGAAAAGGCGCGAACGAGCGGGGGCCACGAAGTGCAGATAATGCGGGGCCACAAAAGGCAACTATGGGGCCACTGAGGGTAGCAAGTGGGCCACGTAATTAGGACAGTGAGGGGGACACAAATGGCGACAGCGGGGCCACGAAAGGCATGCATATGGGGCCACAACGGGCGCGACTCATGGGCGCCTGGGTGTCGGGAGCGCGGCGCTTGGGCAAATTGCAAGGAATTCCAACGCAAGGCTATTCTTCAGTAAGTTACAAGAAAGTTTCCAGCGAGAGCGCGAGTCCAAAGCGCCGGTAGAGCGATTCCTGCATAAATTGTAACGAAGTCCCAAGCGAGAGCGCGACTCCTGAATAAATGCGAGGAAGTCTGGGGCGGGAGTGGGGGTCCTGGATAAATTGTAAGGAACTTTCAGGTGGGAACCGTTGTTGTTGTAACCCGGGGGCCAGGGGCCCAGTTTGAGCATCAAGATTTTCCATGTCCAAAAAAAGTGCGAGGGTCGAGGGGCACATTTCGATTTAGAAAAAAACAGTATGCACTGGTGGGGGGATCAACAATAATTATTCTTCTGAAATGAGAATTCAACAACAACAGTGATCCGCATCGCGGAATTCCACTTCAGCCCTGCACCCAGGGACAGTGAATGACCTTTCGGTTCAGCCCCCTCACTCTGATAACTTGTGGCGCTCCGCGCGGATTTCTCGGATCCGCGCTGGTCCCCCCCCGCGGCGCCTCCGGCGCCGCCTCTCACGCGCTCCGCTCGCCAGGGAGGGGGCCCAGCACGGATCCAAGAAATCCGCGCAGAGCGCCAAGAGTGTATGTTTATTCCGTTCTTCCTTCTTCTAGAATGCACCCCAGATGGACCACAGTGGAAGCCCATGCCAAGAAACACATTGCTTGCCTCCACGGTGCCCTGGTTTTTCTCGGGTTTCGAGGTCTGTGCGATGGAAAGCGCGGGGCTCCCACACCAAACATCAATGGACGTCCTGGGGTCCCAGAGTTGGGTTTCTTGTGGAAGGTTCCTTTTGGTCGAGCTGGTACTGTACACAGCAATGTTCGAAGATCCGCGCGGATCTCTTGGATCTGCGCTGCCCCCCTTTGCGGCGCCTCTGGCGCCGCCCACGGCGCGCGGAGCGAGTCAAGGAGGGGGTTCCAGCGCCGCTTCGCGAAATCCGTGCGGAGCCCCGAGCGTCTATGCTTACGCCGTTCTTTCGCCCTCGACTGGAGCCGCGGCTGCTGCGACACCTCACTGGAGGCACGTCGTCCTGGGGGGCACTTCTGGACCTCCCCAGCAGAGGTGCCTGCTGCTGCGCGACGAGTGCTGCGACCTCGTCCTCCGCGGGCCCGTGGCCGCGGCGAAGGCGGCCATGGACGCGGCCCGCATCGCCCGGCAGGGCCTCCAGCCGCAGGCGGCGCAGGCCGTACAGGTCGCCGCCGACGGCGTGCTCGAGCTGATCCTGGCGCGCGAGTCGGAGGGCGGCCGGGAGAAGCAATGGACTGCGGCGGAGGAAATGGCATCCTGGTGCCGCGGAGCGTCTCCATGCAGGGCCCTCGCCGCCACGGCCGGACTCTCCTCGATTGATGCCGGTCACGGCACTCCCGGGGAGAGGTCGGGAGACTACGTCGAAGAAGACATAACGCCATAAACATAAACTCTTGGCGCTCCGCGCGGCTTTCTTGGATCTGCGCTGGACCCCCTTCCGAGGCGGCGCCTCAGGCGCCGCCCCTGGCGCGCTCCGCGCGCCAGTGAGAGGGGGTCCAGCGCGGATCCAAGAGATCCGCGCGGAGCGCCAAAAGTTTATGATCATGCCGTTGTTTGTTCCTCTCTCTCTTTCTATGTGGTTTGTTTGTTCTCTCTCTCTCTCTCTCTGGCTCTGTCTGTATGTGTGTCTCTCTCCATATATATACACACATATATATACATACATATATATATATGTGTATATATATATATATGTATAGCTCTGGCTCGAGATCCTGTGGTCTCCAGAGCGGGGACGCTATGCCCATCGTCCTGCAACTCGGGCTATTATGTCACACGCTGACGGCTCACATGAGGCTCATAGCATGGAACCCGATGTCTTTGCAAGATTACGACAAACGCCTAGAGATTTCACGTGGATTACAACATGTGGATGCGGTTCTGCTTTCTGGCACCCAGACCAAGTCTGCCGACGCCTACGACACACACTCAACCACCGAGTTCCTCATGCTGAAGTTCGGCTGGCACCGATATGGCAAGAACACGACTGGCAACAAATCGAATGGTACCGAGATTTGTCTGAGCAGACGATGGTTTCGAAAATCTCGTATTTTGAAGGTTTGGCAGACGCCCACATCGATTTGAGGCAGAGTAGGTGCGGTACGTGTGAAAAGCTCCCAGCTTGACTACACTTTCATCACGGCGTACTTCCCACCTCGAGCTCTTCGACATACCACAGCGACCAAGAACGAGGTGATCGTGGACAAAATTATTGCCCACCTGCACGACATCCTCGCCAGCCTGCCGAACCGCACTTGTGTCTTCATCGTTACGGAGTTGAACGACGGTCTCAAGCGCGACATCCACCCGGGGGACGAGGATGCTACGATAGGTCCATTCGCCAGCGGCCTTCAGCACTACGCTGGCGAAGCCTTCCATGCGCTGATGAAGGACTACGCCTTACGCGCGGCCAACACTCACCACCCGTGCGGCCCGACATGTCACGGACTCCGTGGACACTCAAGTTATATCTGCTACATTGTGATGCCGATCCGTTACCTCCTTCGCGCACGCAGGCATAACATCGCCTACCGACTCACTAAGCGACTACGCGCATTTTTCACAACGTCGACTGGATCACATGATGCTGTATAGCGGCGTGGATTGTACCCTCACGCTCGACAAGCCCAAGACGACACCGCAGTGGGACTTCACTCGGATCTTCCTCGCTACACACGACGAAAGATACCATTGGTGGGCGAAGCAACCCCGCGACGACGTCGCAGAAGACTTGACGAACTTCTTGTACGAGTACGGGCACAGAGATATGGCGGATTGGGCAGAAAGGCGTGCTATGGAAGACGGGCGGCAACAGCTTATGGCAGTCATACGAACGAGGGCACCCGCACTTTTCGAGGCCGAAAAATTTACTATTGATCTCGAATATCAGCAGCTCGCGCTACAACGTAGACAAGTCCTACACGCACGAACACTCGCCAGGCAGAACCTGACCGACGACCTTGAGAGCGCGATCGTACTCCGCCGCTGCAGTTCAGAATGCGAACAACTACGACGTCGATTGCGCGACCACCGAGACGAACAACACTTCCAGGAACTACTGATAGTTGAAGAAGCTGGTATTGAAGCGAAGGCCTGGCGCGCTTGCCGTCGCCTCGCCGCGAACGGCAACGGACATGGAAGGCGCTGCTATTTCGACCTACCCGATGCCCGACGACCCTCACTTGGACAGAAGCTATGGCACTACCTGGCGCCGAAGGCGGTATGGAAGCCACACCTATCGACATCAACCAATTTATCGGCAACGCTGCTGAACATGACGTACGTTTCTGCCCCGTGGTTCATCAGTGGACACACGTTCAATATGACATGGCATCGATACAGAGACAGCCACGGAAGTATTGCACGACGGCGTGCTGCACCTGAATGGTCACTTCCAGCTGATATGCGGGCATTCCTCCTTGTGGGCCGACGCGAAGACCAGAAAAAAATCACTGGTGGCCTGAATATGACCCTACGACGCGTTTCCCGGGCCCCCTCCTCGGCGACGCTATTATCACACAAGTTGCAGCAGCACGGCAACACCAACGATTGAATGCATGGTGGAACCTCTCCCAGACTTACCAAGTGGGCAAGATGAATAACAAACCGCGCACTCGAGGTGCACGGCTATTACACGGACTATGCCCTCTTGGCAAATTTTGGGTTGCATCGCAACAGATGCTGGCGACTGCGCCTCTGGATGATGCTGAGCACGGTTATGCTCGTGCCAGACCGAGATCAGAAGCTATTGCTGTAGGGCTGGCGCTCCAATGGCGACCCCAACGCATCAGCAAGATCCACATCACCGCCAAGCATGACATGACGAACGCGTTCGCCTCCGTCGCCCGCCCGATCCTGGACGCTGCCGTCGACCAGATCTACTTCCCTGGTGACTGCGCGATCATGAAAGGGCGACGCCGAAGAGCTGCCTGTGTCATTAGCGATGGCATCAACGCCCAGTGCGACCAGAACCACGCGGGCTCCTTCATGGGTGACGCTGACGTCGTTCAAACCGCCCACCAACGCTTGGAGCGCCTCGATTACCGCGGACACGTCATCCTCATTGGTCGCGGGCTGCGAATTCTCGGGGGCCAACGTCGACCTAAGCGTTCGTAAGTATGCCGGCGATCCCACCAATACCCACCTGTGCATGGACGCGCAGACGGCGGCCTACAAGGCTGAGCACCATCGGACTACAACAGAACGCGAGCAAGAAAGCGGTTCTACCGACCATCATTGGACCTGGAGCACATCGAAATGTACGGGTACTACATTATGGAAAAATACAAGTCGATGGCGAAGTACATTCGTCTACGCTCTTCCTCGGCTCCATTGCGCAGGCGAACGGACTGAATCATGCCGAGGTACGTGCTCAATGCGCTGCTGCCGCCCGTGGAAGGAGGGGCATGGGCCGTTTCTGGCATAATTGCAGGGGGCTCGGGCGACGGAAGCTAGTGTTCAGAAGGCAAGTATATTCCGCAGCTGTCTCTGGTCTCGAAGCCCGTGTCCTCGCCAAGGCGCAGCTCGCCCAGATCGGCGCTTGCGTCGCCCGGCGCGCCCGAGCACTCCTCTAAGGTACAGCATGCATCAAGCAGCCTGTCGGCGGCGCCGACCTGTCTGCAACGATTGAGGTGGTCCGCAACATCTCACCGCACGCTGTTTGGAAGAAGTTGGAGATGGTCCCTCCGTCGATAGAGATTCAGACTGTCCGTATCAAGTGGTGGCAACGTGTCGCTCGAGAACCAACGCACTTTGCGCAGCTACTTGCAAGTGTCTTTGGCCCGCTGATGTGTGAAATCAACCAGACTGTGGAACTACCATGGGCACCAGTCCGACCTACAGGCGACGACACGCACAAGAACAACCCGTGGAGGAAGCAGTTCATGGACGACATGCATTTGCTGCAGGTGTTCGCCGACGGCCGCGCCTGCTTCGACGTACTCGGCGATGCCCTACTGGATATTTGTTCGGCCTACCGCGGGCAGGGGCGTCTTTCTCAAGCTCGCGGTGGCACGCGTGCGCAAGTGGTGACTGGAACAGCCCGCCCCTGCACGCAGAGCTCCAGATGCAACTGTCAGCTGGAACTGCCCCCACACGTGCGGCCTGCTCTGCGAAGATGGCGCGGTATGTCTGTTCGCAGCCGAGACAAAACAAGCCCTTGGAGTGCACCAAACGATGAGCGGGGAGGGGGGCGAACGTGGTCGTATATGCGAACGCTCACGATTCACGAGTATTAACCAGTGCCCGAACTGCCGATCGACCTTCGCTAGCCGACAGACTGCGATTAACCGCCTTGCCGCGGCCTATCGGTCTGGACAATGCCTACAGCATCGGTCGGCATTTAACGTCGAAGCGCACGATCCACCGCAGCTGTTTTGCCCGAGCGGCGGCCGCGAGCTCACCTTCCCCGATTTGAGCGAGCCCCAGGCGCACATTGCCACAGCACACCGACCGACTGCACGCCCCCATGTCGCGCGTGAACTCACTACCCAGCGCTGGAGAGCACGTCGGAGGTGCCGCAGCAGACGCGACGCAGCCACGGAAGGTCCGCCGACAACAAGGAAAGCACGTGGCGGCCAGCAGAATGGATCGAACAAGCAGGTGCACCTAGACGAGCTTAACCTTGGACGAGATGGGCGTGAAAGACATCCAGAGGATGTTCCCCTTGGCGGCGATGCTGCTTCTCAGTGTTGCGATGAAGCAGCGCCAGACCGACGCCATCCTGATAAGAACCTACCTCGCCCCCCCAGGTGCCAAGAGCGCGGTGGCGATCCGCGCTCGGGTACGCGCGTGGGTCAAGAAGGCCGATGAGATCCGCAGCTCCACCACTGCGGGTCAGGTCGACGCGGAGATGACGAAGATCGGCGCCATCAGCGTCGCGGCGTTCGCAGGCCTGCTCGAGGGTCTTTATCTGGAAGGCGCGTCTGTCGGAGGCCTCGACCGGCAGAAACTGACCGAGGACATGAAACAGATCGTCGAGCTCGCTCCTCTGGTGAAGGTCAGCGACACCCACGACCAAGCGATGGCCAAGCTCCAGCCCAGCATCAACAAGACCGACACCGATCTAAGTGTGACCCACGAAGCGCTGATACAGACGGGCGCGAACTACAAGCCAGGCAAGGGACCCGTGGTCCATATGGAGCGGATCCTGCATACGAAGCTGGACACGACACAGTTGTGCGCAATGGAGCCCAGGTATTCTGCTGAATATCGCTGACGAGGGCGAGGGGCGCCCTAGTGCAGCTACGGACACTCCTTGTACGACTCGAACTACTACGGCTGCTCCCACCTGTGCAGCCCCGTCGGCGACGCCTGCTACGTCGAGTACTGAGATGCGCGCAGCTTCGCTGATGGCACATGCACGTGAGATAGAGCCCGCCGAGCAGAGAACCCCTGAGCCTCCTGAGCCCCGCCTACTTCGGCACCCTGTGACTGACCCCTCTCTTTCGTCGGCCCTGGAGCCCCCTTGCCTCCCTCCGCCCCTTAAGAGGCCCCGCAGGGCCCCTGTCTCTCTGTATCCGCCCACGCGGCTGCCGCAACCTCCCAGGAGCCCACCCTTTTCCTCCGCTGCCAGGCTTGGTTCAGGCACAGACTCAAGGACGATGGAAGCCATTTTGCGGCTCGTGAGATCGAGCAGGCGTTAAGACCTGCGTTTCGATTCCCGTCAGCGTGTGACTTGTCACTTAACCTCGGGTGTAGCCCGATCCTAGAGGCACGCCGCGTCTGAGACCCGCGTACCGATGCCTCCGAGGGGTCCGATCCGATCCGGCATATATGTATGTATATATACATATAAATGTATATATATATACATATACATGTATGTAAACATGATTGCATTGGCGCTTCGCGCCATGCACCTTGTTCCTTGTAGTTTCGAATGCGGGCGGCGCGCGTGCGCGTAGACATGGTGCGGGCCACCGCCAAGTCGGAATGGCCGAGGAGCGCCTGAGCGGGAGCGACAGGACAACACCAGCTGAGGCCATCCCAGGGCGTTTTGGGGCCCAGAGGCGCGAATCTGTTTCAGGCGAATGGTTGGGCGAGCATGGAGCAGGGCATCTTCCTCCTCTTTCTCCTGCTCCCCCTTTTCCTTCTCCTCCTCCTCTTCCTCCTCCTCGTCCTCATCCTCTTTTTTTTTCTCTCTCTCTCTCTCTATTTCTCTCTCTCTCTCTCTCTCTCTCCCCCTCTTGCTCTAATTCCTCCTCCTCCTTTTCCTCCTTGTCCTCTACCTCCTCCTCCTCCTCCTCCTCCTCCACCTCCTCCTCTTCTTCATCTTCCTCCACCTCCTACAGAACATGCTATTTTCGGCATGCGCGCTGCTGGGCTGCCGGCTTCGAGCCCCAAAGAGGCCCAAGGCTGGCCCAAGAAGGCCCAAATAATTGAAATTCAATGAAAACCCATTGGGAAATCAATGTTTTTGGCCTTCCCGCTTTTTCGCTTCGATCGGCTCTTGAGGTGTCGAGATAGCCCCAGGACGGCTCCAAATGAATCCCCAGACGAGCCCCAGAGAGGCTCAAGGCTGGCTCAGCAGGGCCTGGCCGGAGAGTCGGACATCGGAGAAAACCCACTGCAAAAGCAATGTGTTCTGCCGTCTCGCTTTTCATTCCCGGTTGGCTCGAGAGGCGTCAAGATGACCGCAGGATGGCCTCAGAGAGGCGTAAGCCGAGGCCCACAGAGGCCCAAGGCTGGCCGAAGAGGGCCCAAATAATTGAACACCCGTGATAACCCATTGGAAAATCAATGTCTTTGGTCTTCTCGCCTTGTCGCTTCCGACTGGCTCTTGAGGCATCAAGATAGGCCCAGGACGGCTCCAAGTGAGTCCCCTGAGGAGCCCCGAAAGGGGAACAGACTGACCCTTGCGGGCCTGGAGGTTGGGAAATCAATATGCAAAAAAAAGTGGTTGGAAAAACACAGTTTTCGGTCTGCTCGCCTTTTCGCTTCCGGTCGGCCCTTGAGGCGTCAAGATAGCCCCAGGACGGTTCCAAATGAGTCCCCAGACGAGCCCCACAGAGGCCCAAGGCTGGCCGAATAATACCCATAGAGTTGAACATCAATAATAACCCATTTGAAAATCAATGCTTTTTGCTTTCTCGCCTTTTCACTTATATCGGCTCTTGCAGCGTCGAGGTAGCCTCAGGGCGGCTCCAAATGAGTCCCCAGACGAGCCCCAGAGAGGCCCAAGGCTGGCTCAACAGGGCCCATGGAGTCGAAAATCAGAGAAAACCAATGGAGCTAGACAGGCCCGAGCATTCGAAATTCGTTTGAGGGGGAGGGGTGTCAGAGGGGGGGTGCGCCCTTTCCGGGGTCCCTGGCCCTATAAACAACACATGTGAATAGGAATATGAATCTATATATATATATATATATATATTAATATATATATATATATGTATGTATGTCTGTGTGTATGTATACACACATACATGCATGCATGCATGCATGCATGCATGCATGCATGCATGCATACATACATACATATACATTTACATATACATATACATATACATATACATATACATATACATATACATATACATTACATGTACATGTACATGTACATGTACATATACATATACATATACATATACATATACATATACATATACATATACATATACATATACATATACATATACATATACATATACATATACATATATATATATGTACATATGTACATATGTATATAGCGCTGTCGGCACGCCTGTTTGCACCCCCCAGGACGAACCGCATCCGGGAGTTCCGCTTCGAGGCGCACAACGAGCCCTGGTGCCAGCGGCTGCGCGGCGGTGCCCCGGACGCCGCGCCCCCCGCGGGGAGGGCGCCGCACGCCTCCCCCCGGAAGGCCTCCCCCCGGAAGAGCGCCGCGGCCCGCTCGGGCGCCGCCTGGGCGGGCGCCGGGAGCCTCGCGGAGCGCGTCTGGCAGGCCGCGGACGCGGCGGAGGCGCTGCGCTGAGGGCGGCGGCGCGAGGAGGGCGGCGGCGCCCGCCGCTGAGCTCGTCGGGGGAGGCCGCGAGGGAGGAGGAGGAGGGCGGGGGCAGGGGCGGGGGCGAGGAGGAGGAGGAGGAGGAGGAGGAGGAGGAGGAGGAGGAGGAGGAGGAGGAGGGCTGCGAGGAGGGCGGCGAGGAGGGGGAGCTAGGGCGGCGAGGAGGAGGGCGGCGGCGCGAGGGCCGCGGGGGGGCGCGGGGCCTCTGGGCCGCAGCTCCTCCCCGCATGCGGCACGCGCGGCGCTCGCCCGTGGCCGCACGGGCTGGCGTGGGCCACGCGGGGCCCTGCCCCGGCGGCGCGAGGTCATGTCCGCCTCGCGGCGCGCGCGGCTCCGCGGGGCACCCTGCCCCTGCCCTGCACGCCCTCGGCAGCACAGCACGGGAGCCTCGCGTGCCCTCGCAACACAGTCGAGGCCCTGAAGAAGGAACCCTTTTCGTTGGGGAGGGGCTCCGTGTTCCTTGATTGCTTCACGGTTTGCCTTGGGTTTTCCTTTGGTCTTCGATGGGCAATCGAAGTTCAACTTGTGGATGAAAGGGGCCTCGCTCCTTATCCAGGGTTCCTTGGGTCAACGCTCCGACTGTATGCCTCTTCAGCGTCGGCTGGCATCGATTAGCGTCTGGCAGTCTGCGAGTTAGCGCCGATGCAGCGTCGATTTAGCGTCGATGTAGCGTCGGCTCGCGTCGAGTTAGCGTCGAATTGGCGTCGATTCGCAAGAGCCGGCAAGTTGACAAGATGGTAGGGGAGGCACCCATGAGTTGCCACCGAGCACGGCACATGTTTGCTGCACTGCGGTGCGTGCATCCGTTTTCTAGGGCCGCTCCCCAAGCATCCCTCATTGCGGGTTTGCTCCCTTCTCTCGAGCCAACGGGTCGGGGTGGACGGAGTTTGGCGCGGCGGCTGTGGGGATGGGGCAGGAGGATGGCCCTGTCAGCTGTTAGGTTACCGGCGAGGGACCGCCTCAGCCAAATGGTTCGGGTGCCTTCTTCCGGGCACACTCAGTGCTGTACCCTGTCACTGTTTCACTGATTTCGCGACTGACTCTCTATTTTACCAGCCTGGAGCATATCCCTACTTGCGCAGGCCGAAAGATTTTCTTCTTGAGCCCTACATGTCGGAAGTGACGCGCCGACCCCCTCTGTTATCCTCCCACCTCCTCTTGCCTCTTCCCTCATCTTTCCCCTCTTCATCCTGGGAAGACCCCCCTCCCCCAGTATAATCATAGCATTGGTCTGCAGATCCACAGCTCCGTGGATAGCATGATGCTTCAGTTGCGGTGCTCCGCGGATCCCATTTCCCCCGGGTCCCGGATGTTAATTATTAGTATATACATATATATATATATATATATATATATATATATTCCCTCGAAATAAATGGATCCATCGTTTTTTTCACACAGGAAATTGGATCCGTGCAGCACAGAAATAGGATCCACGAAACTCTCCCACACCCGAAAAGGGATCCAATTGGATCCATTCACGGTTTCATAATTTTTAGTCCAAGAGGAAAACATTTTCGGCCTGGGGATGTATCCCTATGCTGGGCACCTCCTCATCACGATGCCATTCTTAGGGGTTCCCTCGTTTTCTGATGGCGAATCCCTAAGATTGGCATCGCCTTTTGGCGTGTCAATCTTAGGAAGAGGGATACGTTCAAGGCTGGTAACTATTACCCCGCGGAGGCAGACTCTCGGGTCAAGGCCTGTTGCTTCTTCTGCCAGGCCCTATGACGACATTGCGCGTGCGGCCCCCTCCATGACTGAGCGCTTTTCACGGGTGCGTTCAGCTGTTCTGTTACACCACGGTCACGGAGGGAGCAAGAAAAAATGAAGAGAGGGGCAAATTGAGTCACTTATGCCAGTTGGGCCAATGATTGATCGCCTCACCCCGATAAGTCTGGACAGAATAAGTGGGATGACAAGGAAACACAGCCCGATAGATGCAATGCCCGACCGTATCAAGAACGGCACAGGGTATAGCCCATACCTCCGACGTCGTGATTGGTTTAGCGTGACCCACCTGAGCTCCCGACCTCTTTCTTGGATTTTTTTGCACGGGAGCAATATGTGATGTCCCTGGGGTCCAGGAGAAGCCAACAGAGGCCGCAATCTAGGAACAGCGCTAGGATCGAATTGTTCATGTCGTCGGAGGTCCAAGAAGGAATCTGCGGCAGTTGGTTGGGGTGGGGCGGCCTAAAATCAGGGAGACGAGATAATCAGGAGAAGTATAATGTTTAAGATGCCTGGTCTGGAAAAGATATCCGGCATTCCTTTGCGGTATTTATCGGAGACCTGCGCGGGGATCCTGACCCGACTTTGGAAAAGGACTACTGTCCGACCTTTGGTTGCTAATGCATATCCGGCTGCCTACGGCAAGGTCCGTCACCGTTCCAGCGCAGCACTCCCTGAGGCGGGGCCCTCTTGGGACCCTCTTCGGCAGTCTGAAGAGTCCCTTGGGGCTATGTTGGGATCATGTTGTGGCCCTCTTGACCATCTTGGGGCCCCTTTGGGCTGTCATAGGCCCATCGTGGGCCGTCTTGGGACACTCTTGGGGCTGCCCTGTTCTGTCTGGCGAGATTCTAGGGACCCTCATGCGCCTTTTTGTGGTTCTCTGTGGGTCGTTCGATGTCCTCTTGGAACCATCTTGAGTCGCGGGGTCAGGGAAGCGCAAACATTGAACCACGTGATCAAATCGTAGTGTGTTGGATCATGTCCGTCCCAGAGGACCTCTTGGCTTTGTCTTTGCTGGCTCGACACCCTATTGGCCCCCCTTTTTGTGGCGCCTGTCGTGGTAATATTGCGGACCGGTGGGTGCCACGTGAGGCATTGTAGAGTCATCTTATCGGCATTGTTGGTTTTCTTGGGCCGGCTTGGAAGTCCTGGAGAGCATTAAAGAAGCATCCCGTTCCTCCTCCTCCTCCTCCTCCTCCTCCTTTCGAAGAGGAAGAATAATGAAAGCGCCACCAGCGCGAATCCAAGAAGCCTGCGCGGAGCGCCAAACCTTCATGTGTATGCAGTTGTTGTTGTTGTTGCTGCTGTTGTTGTTGTTGTTGTTGGTGTTGGTGTTGTTGTTGTTGTTGTTGCTGCTTTTGTTGTTGTTGTTGTTGTTGTTGTTGTTGTTGTTGTTGTTGTTGTTGTTGTTGTTGTTGTTGTTTATTCTTATTATTATTCTTCTATTTTGAGAGCGGTCTTGTTCGACCCGCAGCGCGCGAACACGCACGCCAGAGTGTTGGACATTGCGCGCCAGCTGGGTTTGCATTGTTTGTCTGCCTGTGTGGAGTGCATTCCGGTTGTGCATCGTCTCCCCCCACGCCCTGCGGGGTGCTCTCCTCCCCTGCTCCGCCCGAGGAAAAAAAACAAAAAAAACATTGCGCGCCAGCTTGGCAGCAAGGGCGCGATGGCACGGCCTGGAGCGCAGCGCAGAAGCGGGGGCGAGGCCACGGAGGACGCGCGCGAACGGCCGGCCCGCACCTGCACCGTCGGGGCAGGTGGCTCGCTCGGGCAGCTCCCCGCCGGGAGCTGCGGCGCGCGCTCTGCTCGGGGGACGCGCTCGCCGTCCCCCGGGAGGCGCCTCGAGCGAGAAGTTCGACGCCCCGCGGGGAGCATCGGAGGGCGCGCCTTGGCCGTCCTTCTGGAGTCGCAGAGGTGGAAGGTTGGCGTGTGGCTCTCTGCACGAACGAGATGGGCACGGAAATAATGGGTACGATGCCCAACAGCGGATCTAGTTCGTTTTGAACAGGACTCGCTGTCCCGCCGCCGCAGCCTGTGTCCATTCGAGACAGAAGGCCGCCTGCCCAACAGCGGCCGCTGTTGGTTTGGGACAACATTTGTTGTTGGACACTGTACCCATTATTTCCGTGGCCATTTCGGGCGTCCAAATGCTCGCCAATTCCCCGCCGAGGGAGATGACATCAGGAGGTCGTCAGCGATACGGTCGCCATCGAGCACTTCTTGGAGTGGATTGCCGAGGTGATGGCCGTGATACGCGAGAGAGGTGCAGTGCCGATCCGAATGACGGACTTGAGCGGAATCATGCTGGACAGTCCACGAGTTCATGTCGTTGAAGTACATGGCACCGGCATGATCACCCCAATTTCGGCGAGGCTCGTTCAGACCTTACGTTGACGAGTGAGCGCTTAAGAGTACTTCGACACATTATCCAGGACCTCCCACATGCATCGGGGAGAAATGCAGCTCGTACATCGGTCACATTGTTCTGCCAAGAGGAATGACGCAGACGGTGGAATTGATTGCATATGTTTTCCGATTCGACACGCAGGTTGCAATTTATCAAATCCGGAAGGCTCCGAAATAACCGGCTTATGTCAGTCACTTTGATTGCCCTGCTGGCCTCGAAGACGCTCTTTCGGCGACCGCCCAGGCCCAATCGAGAATTTGTGTTTATCAGTGCGTACAGGTGGGGTACCAGCGAAATGATGTTATGAGCGCGATGGATGTGAAGATATATGAACCCCAGGAGGAGGTCATAGCAGCAACAAAACGGAACGCCGATGTCATGAATGAGTTATTCGTTAGGGCCCTGAACAATGCAGCTGCCGATGAGCGAATGACTTCCCCTGTCCAGCGGGCCCCACAAGCAGCACACCAGCCAAATAGGCAAACGACTGAAAGCTAAACGTGAACTACAAGGATCTTGAAGACAAGCAGCAAACCTAGAGGAGCTTACGAGGCGCACCCAGGAGACGAGCAATAATATCAGACAAGTACAAGAGCGACGAGCACATGAGCTTAGTACAGCAGCATGAGAGCATACTAACTATCTAGTCCAAACACGAACCAGGTTTTTTGTTTGCAGGCAACGGGGTTCATGGCAGAGACGTTTCACAGCGATTGCGGACAACACGGGCTCAGCGCGAGTTTGGGCTCACAGAGTACGTCTCGGACCACAGGCTTTAGGTTGATGGGCGATCGTGAGGCACACAGTGGAGGTCAAGCAT